AGCTTTCTTACTCCGGCTGTTTGGATGACAGACTCCTCTCCTCCACCTCAGCTTAGGCTTCCCATCAGGGAAGATTCTGCCTTGTCACACACAATCCAGAAAGCCACCCCCTCCATCAAGTTTGACTCCAATACCACAGGGCCATTTGCTTTTGGTCTATAGTTACTTGATTTATTATCTGTCAACAGCAAAAACAATTGCCAAGTTCCCAGTACTCACTGTTCTCTACCATGTAGGAGAGCGTCAACAAATATTAATAAACATAACAAAAACCTTTAACAGTACAAATAAAAAAAGTGGCTTGCACTGCATTTATTCACTGGGACTAAACATTAGAGAAGTCCACAGTTCTCGTAGAATACATGTTAACATTAGTCATCTGTGTATGGTAAATGTGGTCATTCACTGGTATCTCCCAATACTGCTAAACACTCGATAAGACTACAGATTTACTATTGTTTATGCCTACAATGATTTCAAATAAGATTGTAAGCATATAAAAGCCTTCGTTTTTAAGCCTGTATTATTAACTATGCGGTGTATGTGGTGTGTGTGTGTGTGTGTGTGTGTGTGTGTGTGTGTGTGTGTAGTGTGTGGTGTGTGTGTGTGTGTGTGTGTGTGTGTGTGTGTGTGTGTGTGTGGTGTGTGGTGTCTTTGAGTGTGTTGTCTATACCATGGTGCTCAAGTGGAGATCAGAGGGTGGCTCTTGGGATCTGAATCTTCATTCCACCCACAGGACATGAACCAGGTCACTGGACTTGCACAGCAAACACCTTTGCCCTCTGAACCATCTCAGTGCGCTTTAACTTTCAGGACTACTTTCCTAATAAAGACTAATTTACTTTAAAGCTAATTCATCTTTTCAAGGGAGCCTCGCCTCGACTGCCTCACCCAAGAGAACGCTGACTGCGTGACTCCCTCAAAAATATTCCTCATTTTCCAGTATTCCATTAACTCCAGGTCTGCAACTAGTCTGCAGAAACTGAACAATGAAATTTCATAAAAACTATACGACAAGTTCGATGGTCACAGCAAACTCTGCAGCACAGGCTGGGTCTCCGGCTAGAGAAGCTGTGGAGACCTCAACATCAACCAGCGCATTGCAGAAGAAGCCATCACTGTCCTCAAAATTTTAATACAAACAGCATTACATGCACACATGTAGGACCCAACTATACTTACAGACTCTAGAGCTGTGTGGGCAGTGTATACAAAAGGGCAAATTGTATCCGACAATTTTTAAAGATTTAAAGCCTTGATAAATACTTCAAGACAACTAAAAAGGAGCAAATCAAAGTAAACCACTAAACACCTAAGAATACATTGTCAGGAAGTTCCATAAGATCAAATGGATGAATCTGAACAAAATGTTCAAAATAGATTATTTTTAATAAATATACATGAAGCATATTTTTAAAAAATGTCATATGTGCATACAACCTAGTAGTCAAAGAGAATTTAATGGACTCTGGACCAAATCACTTGGTAGTATTGAAAAAAATTACAGCAATAATAACCAAAGAACTTGAGATACAGTAACCCCAAATTCCTACTTCTCCCCTGCTTTTAGGCTGGTAAGGTCAGGGTTCACTCCAGCCATACTGTAGCTCTGGTCAATGAGCTAAAAATTAGTGAACAGAGACTATAGGTACCAGATCCTATATTCCAGTACAAAATGTAGATGTTTGAGAGTCACCTGACACGTATATAGTTCTGTGACACGCCCACCCCCAACCCCAACCTGCGCTTTTCCCATCAAGGTATACGCCAGGATTTTAGAAATGTTTTTGTTCTATCACCCGCTACAGTTAGAATCTCACTAAATCCCAGTATAAACATTTCGGTCTCAAGAGTCCTATACACTGGCCAACAACACTAAGTAATTAAAGAATGTGGGTGGAATTAAAAAATAAATAAATAAACCAGGGATGGAGAAGAGAAGAAAAATTTACATGGAGAGGTTCAGCATGTTTAACATCAGGTGACATGCCATCTTACTCTTTGCAAATGAATCATAAAGGGATGATCGTGAGTTTTTAAATGATTGCTTTCTGCTCTCATGTGCTTTAAGATTTCCGATTTCCTTATAATTTCAAAAGAGCAACAAGCTCAGTACAGACATTCCTTACACTTCCAGACACTGGCAAAGTCGCAGGGGCTGGAACCCAGCATGTTGGTTCTTAAAGGCCCCACGCAAGTGAAATGCACAATATAGGACAGAGTCCTTAAGGGCCCTGAACACTAATTAAGCCCAGGGATCAGATATTGAAGTTATAAATATTCCATGCAGATTTGCAAACAAGGAAATAATTAAAGAAGCAATACTTTAGCATCTGCAAAGCACACAGCCAAAACATTCTGGAAGGATTTTCACAGAGTTGAGAACAGTAACACAGCTCTGAGACTAATGATGTTGGCTTAAACGTTGGTATTTGGTTCTTCAGGGGTTCTCTGAGTATTTGTCTGGAAGTATTCACAGCAGAGTATCACTTGGCTAGCAATAATGCCCTTTTGCTATAAGGAGGGCAGATTCCTATTTTTTAAAAATGAACAATAGTGGTTTTCTTTGTTCAACACAAGTGTAATACATCACAGAAATCAATAGCATATCTGAGATGCAAATTATTTCCCCTCACGAAGCCTTAGAACACCGTTCCCTAGTCAAATAAGCTAGGTAAGGCTTTAGAGCATCATTTGTCTCTTCTGTACAAACTGGGGAGACGCCACAGTGCCAGCACTTAAAGAGGAATAACAAAGACACTGGCAACTTCCCACAGCACCTGAAGCATGCACTTAGAAAACGTGGCGGGGGGGGGGGGGGAGACAGCCAGAATTAAAGAGGGCACTGGACGCTTAACAAAAATGCGACTGTGTATACTAACTCACTCATCGTCAGCCTTCCAAACAAGAGCAAAACACAGGCAAGGGGTCAGAGTCCAGATGCTACTGGGAGATCTAAGAAGCAATGAAGCTCCCTCCCAGGAGCCAGCCCCGCCCAATTCTTTCTTCCTGGTTCTACTAACAAGGTTCTGCAATGAAAAATTAATCGCAGGAGAGAGCTAGAACCCCGTTCCTTTTCCACGCTCACAGTTAGTGCAAACTAAGAAAGGAGCCAAGAAAGCCCCTGGATTTCATCCCCTGGCCGCCTCTACGACATTTGGAAAAAGGTGGGCTTTCGTCTCCATGAGGTACTGAATGAGGGATTTGCAACTACAGTTTGAGAAATTGAAGTCTGAAGACATGTGTCTCCGCCTGAGAATGGATCAGTGGAGAATCCTTTGTCTACTGCTCAAATTCCTCTTCCTTGTCCCAACTCCGCCCATTCCTAGCCTGGCTTAAACTCCCAGCAGCTCAAACTGACATCCCCCTAAGTCTGACTTAAATCGGGAGTCTAAGACCCAGGGTTTAAAATGCAATTGTTTTAAGCAAACTCTTTGTCCTGATAGCCAGGCTATTACATTGGAGCTTAATAGAGTTTTAATAAGAATTAAGTCTTCAGTAGACGAGTGATCTTACCCCAAGTCATGTGATCCCTAAACACCGACATCTGTATCTTATATTGGTCTTGATGTACAACCCAGGCTGGCCTCAAACTCAAAACCACCAACGCTCTTGCCTCATCCTTGAGCTGCCCAGAAAAAATAGACTAGTCCAGTTTTGGAAAAACAACCCAGAATTAACTTGTGGTGCATAACTCTACAGGCCATCTTTTCTACATTTATGCACAAATTAAAAAGAATTCCTTGCACGGCCTACTAGAAAAAACAAGTAGTATCACGCAAATGTTGTTTGACTGGCAAACACTTAAGGGGTGAGTAAAAGGCACAAAAAGCTTACTTCTTAAGCTGAGTATTGGGTATAAGAACGCCAGCCATTGCTGCTAAACATATGTCCCGTGGATCTTTCCTTTAACTTTTGATTTTTTTCTAGCACTGGGGAACAAATATACTGGTTCACACACGTGATGTAAGCACTGTACTTCTGCACTATCTATACTCAACCCTAATATTTCATTTTTGAAATATAAATGAAAAGTTTGTTTCTGTAATGGCTACTATAAGTGTATTGATCGTACAAGAAGTTAAAAAGAAAATCAAAGGAAGACACTTAGGTTTCAGAGGTTTCTACAGAGATAGGGCGTCAGATCAAGTGACAGGGAAAAATGGGGCCTGGATGGCAGGAACCAACAGCAACTCATTCACTAAGATGACGGTGCAATGCCATTCAGATTTTAACACAAAAGGTTAAGTGCTTTCTGGGCCGAGGACCCCCATTAGAACAAATGGGACTGGCCGGGGTCTGGAAAGTAGGCATGCCTGCAGATTATCTGTGTTTATTGAGACTAGAATTCCAGGGTAGGAGCCCAGCTTGGGAGAGGAGCTGAAAGATGATCAACAAATTAGAAAAAACAACTGTCCAACAAAACTGACTCTACACAGAGGCTTTAAGTCACGGGTTAATCCTCACATTTCCTCTGTATCACCTTCCCCACGTAAGTAAGACCCATCTGCCATTCACTGACGTCACGCGACATGTTTTATGAGTAATAAACAATTACTTCCTTCGACAGCAAACAGATACAGAGCTTCAGCTGAGACATTCTACCGCAATGTCTACTTAGACGCGACAGGGATCTCAACTCTACCTCTTGAGGACTGCCATCACTTCCAATCATTGTTGGTTGTGGGGGGGGGGGGAGAAAGGTTGTCAACATTTTAAAGCCTGGAAATATTGTTAAAACTAAACGTTAGTTTTTGTTTATTAGAGGCACATATAATAAAGTATAACAAGACAGGTTTATCACAGGCTTTATGTAAGCATGGTATAGAAAATTAATTTCTACCCCATATTATCTTCAAAATACACTATTAAAATACAATATTCTTTCTTAGAATGCTCAAGCTACAGCTCTGTGACCCAAATCTTTCCAGAAACTGCTTCCCACCTAGTTTTTCGAAACCATAACTTCACATGGATTTATGCAATTAAAATCATCTTACCTGTACTTTTTTTAAAGCTACTGGCACTCCATCCAAGAGACAGGATGCTCTATAAACTTCACTAAATTGTCCACGACCAATTTTCTTTTCTATTCGGAAGTTGGCTAAGGTATTATAGCCCATATCCGGTCGTAATGCCTTCTGCAATTAAAAATAGTACAAAAAAAGTTTCAATCACACAATACACACAACGACATAACACAAGAAGGTAAAGATATGGTATACACAGCATACCATCTAGAGTAAACTTGCAAACATCCCATGCCAACAATATTTCAGCTCCTCAGAATACAACAAGAAACTGAAGACACAACTATCACCCTGGAGAAATTCACACTATGGGGGGGGGGGTTTGTGGGGATGGTAAGAAGAAGAACTATATACAGCATTTAAGACTGGGAAAGCTAGTCAGGCATAGCGGCACACTCCTTTAATCTTGGTACTTGGAAGGCAGAAGTAGGTGGATGTCTGAGTTCAAAGCCAGCCTGGTCTGCAGAGGTCGAGGACAGCCAGAGCTACATAGAGAGACCTACGTCTGAATAAGCAAAACAAACAAAAGAACAAGAAGTCTGAGAACATTAATAAATCAAGGAAAATGGATGGCAGAGGACTGGAAGGATGGATTTTGAAGTTTTAGGTAAGAATTTCCTGTAACTTGCCTTTAGTTCACTTCTATAAGCCAAACTCGAGCATTCTTGCTTTCTGTGGTGCTAATTCTTTCTCTGAGATTCCTTGAGTTGAAACGGGACCACTCCCCCCCCCAGCCCCGCCCACCACACACGTGTGGCTCTGGTTCTTACTTCAGATCACTGACTGCATAGGTCCATGCGGATGCAGAAGCAGGGAACAGGGTTCAAGATGGCTGTGGGCATGAACAGAGACAGCCCTCCAGGAGGCAGACTTGGGTGAATCAGCTCAACATTATCCCAGAGTATATAAGAAATAAATAACATTGGGGAGCCTGGGGACAATCCCTAATTTGCATTAAGCCGCACTCTCCTATCACAAGGCTTTGTATGCGACAGTCAGGTCCTATTAAAATAGCTAGAGCACTTGCCTAATTAACATGTGGGTCATTGGGGAAGAATGTTTGCAGGGGACTGTGTCAAAGGTAACCCTTGAGATAAGTCAGACATCAGGGCCTAGAGACATCCTCCAGATAAGGTGAGGGAGAGAGCAGGAAGCTGGAATCCACATTGCTGAGCTATTGAGATAAGCTGCCAGGCCACGGGGATTCTGTGGCCTCTACTACCCAGCAATGTCTTCCAGCACACACACAATCACCTAATCCACTCTGCCCACCAACACATGCAACAATTTTTAAATTCCTGACAGTATTTTCAGCTTCTGAAAAAGAAACTAATGAACTAACTGAACAGGTAAATAAAAGTCGCCAGTGGCAAGAAGTCTGTCGTTACGCCATCATTTTTTTTTTTTTTTTTTTTTTTTTAGTAATTTGTGGAAGAAATCATTTCATCTTTTTTTTTTTAAATGGAGAATTATTTTTTTTACAGAATATATTTTCATTGTATTCTTTGGCACACACTCCTGCCCTACACTCACCCAACCTGACATTCTCTCCCTTTCTCAATCCTCATAAAACCAGCAAGCAACAAAACAAAACACGACCCCAAAAGACAGCCAAACCGCAACAATAACAAAGCACACACAGAATAACCATAGAGTCCATTCTGTGTTGGTCAACTACTCCTGAGCGCAGAGCCCTCCCTGGAATGTGGTTGCTATTCCCAGTGATGAAAACTGTAACAAAAAGAAATAAATGACCACAAGGCTGATATTGGGGTTAAATATCAGGAAAGCCAAGCTGCCAGCCACTAGCTTCTCCCCTCAACCTCATGCTGAGAGGTCTGATCCACGCAGACGCTCTTCACCAAGCCTCAGACTATAACCTTCCCTCAGCATGGCTGGAGAGTGAATGCCTCACACTGGCTACTTGCTCCTGTCTTTTATACCCTTCTAGTGCTGCGATTAAAGGTGTGAGCTATAATTCTCTTTTAGACTGATTCATTCTTGTGTAGATCTGGGTGGCCTTGGACTCACAGAGATCTGTCTATCTCTTAATTCGGAGTCCTAGGATTTAAGGTTCGTGCCACCACCTCCTAGCTTCTGGCTGCTGGGATTAAAGGTGTACATCACCACAACCCGATCTCTACAGCTTGGGGCTGACTTTGCTTTTCTGAATCCCCAGTCAAGCTTTAATAAATCATAAATAACATCACTACGGAAAACAGATTGTCCCTCTCTTAGCAGCCATTAATGGCTTCTCAGATAGAGGTAAAACAATTTAATTCTTAACTAGTACTTTTTCTACTGCTGCTAATCAGCCAAATGCTGAATCAGAAATGCTTCCTGCTTTCAGCAGCTTAACAAAACACTTAGAAAAGGCTCCTCTATGAGTTCTGAGTGAAGCAAAATTCACAGTACAGAGGCAGCAAAGACGCCTAAAAAAACTCACAGATATTACCCATCATCTTCATTCTTTTGTTGACTTGTTTAACTCTACCATGGTACTAATACAACGAATTCATGGACTCGGTCCGTCAACTGGGTGATTAGTTAGCAAAACTAAGCATCAGCGGAGCAGCCACTGGTCTCAAATGTCAGGGTCCTTACCCATACCCATGGAATGTTCTCACGTTCCTCCTGTTAGTAACTCTACCCATATATAACATAACAAAATGGTCTTTTTAGCAATCATATGCCCTTTTGAGGGGTGGGAGAGCTCCATAATATTTTTCGGTGTTTTTATGAGATTCCTAAATTACTGTTGAGTACACTATTCTACCCGTCTCACAGCCTATAACTATGAGCTAAGGTCTCATAAATATGGCATTCTGGTGGGCCTGCCTAGTGCACCTCTAATGAACTCAACATTAAAGACCTATTAATACATCCAAAGATGGCACTTGTTCATAAACAAATTATATCCAATTTGAACTCTTAGGCCTTCAAATGAACTCTGGGGTTAGACAGATAATGCCATGTCTTGCGCTTATCCAAGAGTCTCTTTTGATATATGAGCAGTACATTAACTCCTAGCCTTCTACACTTTATCTTGCTAATTGCATCTCATTTGTTATACCGAAGGAATGGAATTCCATAACCTTACCCCACTTTTTCTCAAAATGGGATGGGGGACAATTTCCTAACTGTACATTGCTTTTACAGAAAACTCAGTTATTCTTTCTTTTTTTAAGTAGCATTTTTTGGGCTGGTGAGATGGCTCACTAATGCCACAGAGTCTAACTGGGTTTGATCTCAGAGACCTGGAGGGCGGAAGGAAAGACCTGATGTCCTCAAGTTGTTCTCTGATCTTCATACGTGTACTGCGACAGTAACACTCACATATATACAAAGTAAATATAGAATGTAAAACATTCTTATTTTAAATATATAAAATAATCAAAACAAAAATTACAAATTCATTTTGTCAAAGCTCGTAGAGTAATTGTTATGATAATAAGATAATAGTAGCAACAGTTGCTCAGAAGAGAAGCCCCACTGTGATGCTTAGTATTTAGCAGTCCATACATAGTAGGGGTTTATGCCTCATCTAAAGCAGTTTGCATGCCACCCATTGTCATTTTTACCAAGTCAAACCTGCAGGACCTGATTCCCAAATACACAGCTCGTGGCACGTCCCCTAAAATGAGACGCCACGCTCTGAAACTTGGCCCAGTAGGTTCGAGATATTTCCAAATTGAAGTTTATTATTGACAGTAAAAGTTTAGAAGTCTACTGTAGGGAAAAAAAAAAAAAAAATAGACACACTAAAACCCAGAGCCAGGAAATTGTCAGGCTGCTCACGTACAAGAAATTTTTTGTAATCTCCGAATTTACAATGTCATCTAAGACCACATGGCCCAGCCCATATTTTAAAAACGGAAATATATAAAAATCTCTTTCAGATACATTCAATGGATAGGGATGTTTTAAAATGTCTATGATTTCAAAAGGCCTCACTGAAAGAGGAATTGTTTTTTTTTGTTGTTGTTGTTGTTGTTTTTTTTCTGAAATATTGATGACAACATTTTTCCAAGACGTTCACCAGCCTCTTGACACTCTGGATACTTGCTCCATGAGCTAATGTCAAGTGTACATGACATTGTCATGGGGTCTCACTACAGCACCCTGTAATCCACTGCAAGGACCTATAAATGCATGCATACATGTGCACATGGGCATGCGTGACCACGCACTCACGTACATACACGCATGCCTGCATACATGGACAATCTGCAGCATCCAAGAAGTGCAATTCCCTCTTCCACACACACAGGCACTATTCATTCTCTTGGTGACATCTTGTCGATCTCAACAGCAAACACAGAGTTTCGTGACTAGCAACAACGTCGTCTAATCCATACACTTTCAATCTGACTGGGAACACCATCTTCTGTCCGCACAATAACTTGACAAATATTAGCATGAATTGCTAAGGCGGTGTGACAGCCACATGCTGAGAGCAGAGTCTCACTAATGTGTTTTGGCATGCAGGTTTGTAATCACACATTTACATATGCAATGACCTACATTTGCATGTCAGATCACACACCGTCTTGGTTTATTAAGACCGGGCACCTCCCTGTGCTTGGCGGCCAGAGTGGCCAGAGAGGGCCAGAGGGCCGTGTTTTTTGGCAGTTGAGGGATGAACCGCCACAAAGGATTAGGCTGATATGGCATGAGCATTAGACACTTCATTAGACGTAATCTGTTTAACAGTGGGCAGTGTATGTAAACTTCACAGCCCATTTACGGCACCTTCCTCCCCCCCATGGCCCTTCTTCAAAGGGCAGTGCTGGTGAGTGATGGCTTGTCTCATCTGCTCCCCTGTCCTGTCATGGAGTGAGGATGTGGAGAGCTGACGTGAGAGGGAACATAGCTGTACACCGCCAACTACCCTTGGGTCTCACTGTCTCGCTGCAGTTTGTGTAAAAATGAGCGTGTTTGAGATGAGGGCTCCTTTAGGGGGCCGTCACGCACGTCAGCACTACACTCCCGTATGATCAATCGTGCCTCGTTTTGATGAATCAGATGACACTGTCAATCGAATCATAGTATTGCTTTCAAAAAAACGGTATCAAGTGCGTCCCACTAGAGAACTGTTATGATCTTAAATG